GGGTCGGCAGTACACCCAGGCAAAACCGAATTGATATTGGAGACCTCGTGCGGTGACAACGCGAAACTCCCGGTTTCAGTGTTGCCAACGCCCGAGAAACCAATTCTCGGGTTTTATGTAGTGGTGTATGTCTGTACACGTACATCCACCACTGCATCGCTCACGCGGACGCACGTAAGAGAGACAAGGACCGATAATCACGTGTTCTCCTTGTTCCTCTACCGTGCCGGTATAGCGCGAGATGCCGCCTAAAATGCTTTCTGGCCTTCCGTAGCAGAAAGCATAACGTAGCAAGACTAATAGCAACCCATTTTTGTAAATTTATATATGCTTATGCACATATGTGGATATATTATTTATATATAAATATATATATATATAAAATATACTAATTTACTCTCAATTAATATATGCTCTGTTATTATTTATCATTAGACAATTATAAAACAGAGGTTTAGATTTGGTCTGACTACACTGGCCTCAAATTAAAGTTGTATATATTTATTTTAACGTTTCGACCATACGGGATGTGGTCCTTTTCAAAAACAGATTGGAATATCAGAGAGTTTACAGCATTTCGTCTTTAAGATGTAAGCGCAAATTATGATTCGGAGATTTTAACTTGTCAAATAATAAAATATAAAATAAATTATAAAAACATATACATATACATTTGTAATGCATATCATATATATATATGTTTTATAATTGTCTAATGATAAATAATAACAGTAGCATATTGAAAGTAAATTAGTCTACAATGTTAGACACAACGGTACTTGTTAGATTTGATAATTTATTGCTTATACTTTTCGAGAGACAAGAATAAGAGAACGAATATAAATTATTATTAGCTTGTATAGCAATCATAGATTGACGAATATGCGTTGGTTATTCTTGATTTCTTTTCTATTATTGATGTTATTGTATAATTTGCTCCATAAATACTTATAACATAAAAGAACTTATGTCGAGTAATATTGATCAATGCAAAGAATGTTCAGTATGTATCACCCAGTAAATTATTAGAGTTCAAATATATCAATATCAATTTTTTAATAATATATTGGAATACAGAGAAATGATAAAAAAATATATTTCGGCAATAAAAATTTTATAAATATATTGAAAATATTTTTACTACACGCGCGCGCGCACACACACACACCCACATACACACTATATAAATGCAAAATAATACAGAAAATAAATTTTTAATAAAAATCAACATACCAGCTATTTGTGTGTGCATATGTAGCTGCAAGCATGCAACGGATTTATTACTTGATAAATTTATTTACGGACTTATTTTGCATTTATATATATATATATATATATAGTGTATGTAATTGTAAAAATGATTAAAATATTTTCAATATTTAAAAATTTTTAAGTTTATCGCCTTATATTTCTATAATTTTTCTATATTCTAATATATTGTAAAAAAATTGATATTGATATATTTGAACTCAAGTTTTTTACGTGATTGAATATTATTGCATTGAGCCATCATACGTTACTCGTAAGTTCTTTTACATTATAATAGTATTTATGTAGCAGAGAGAAAGAGATAAGAGAGAGATTATACAATATAACTTCAATAATCGAAAAAAATCACGATAACGCTATTGTCATATCTATGTGTGTGCATATATATAAACTTATATATTATATATTTTATAAATAAGTAAAATATATAGAAAAATCAATATAAGATAAAAAATCTATATAAGTTTACAAAAGAATGAATATATATTTCACAAAAAAATTATAAAAAGTAAGGATAAAAAAATTAATATATATATATATTTATTGTATTTTACAATAAAATAAAAATGTGTAATTTTATATAGACTATGTTATTGCTCCGACCTTGCGATGCTGAAAAAAATTATTACTTAAATTTTTTTATGACTATAATAAATTATTTATTATATATATTTTTAATTAATTATTTATATAATAATTATATTTTAATATATATTACGTACACGAATAAGAAATATTTTACATTTGCTCATCATATATAAAACTATAAAAGTAATGGAAATTAAATTTTACATTAATTTATAATAGTATTATGAGGTAGTTAATACATGAAAATTATATAAGATGAATGCTGTACATCGATTAGCATAATATGATTACAAGTCAATAAATGATTTTGCTAATACATTATTTTGAATAAAAATTAAAAAAATATAAAAACAAAAAAATGAAATTAATAAATTTTCTTCATTCTTTGTTTTCTTCTTCTATTAATTATTTTTTCTATTATTTGAATAAAAGATGTATCGTGTGTAATAGATTAAATAGATAGATAATTTATATAAATATGTAATTACGTTTTGAAATTTTATATATATATATATATATATATATATATATTAATTTCAATATATACATATATATATAAATTATTATTTATCTATTACATATACGATACACCTTTTATTCAAATAATAGAAAAAATAATAGAAAAAAACAAAGAATGAATAAAATTTATTCATTTCATTTTTATTTGTTTTTATAAAATTTTTATTCAAAATAATATATTAGCAAAATCATTTATTGCGACTTGAAATCATAATATTACGCTAATCGATGTACAGCATTCATCTTATAAGATTTCCATGTGTTACTACCTCACAATACTATTATAAATAAATGTGAAATTTAATTTGCATTACTTTTATATTTTCATATATAATGAGCAGATGTAAAATATTTCTCATTCGTGTGCGTAATATATTGGTTTTTGTATTTATACTGATTTTACACATATCAAATGCAAGAGAGACAAAGATAGAATGATACTCTCTCCTTGTCAAGCTGTCAGTATGTTACCACGAAAATTTCCCCATGAGTATAGATCTAGTGAGATTTGTTCATCCCAAATATTACATAAAAAGAAGTTACGTAGCTTCGTAAAATATTTTTTAATATATTCTTTATATAATAAAGCAGGGAGACAAAGAGTCAAATTTTGCATTATTGCTCTTAAAAATTTATAATAAATTAAATACGATCTTGTGGCTAACCCAACCTTACCCGCTGCTAGCTGCGCATCTCCCCAAGTTATATTATGAATTTTATATTTATCTTTTTTCCAAAAAATCGATCTTTGTCTCCCTGCGGACAATCCTACTGATTAAGAATATCGTAAATTTAATAAGATTCATTAAGTATTTTGGCTAATATATGGGATGAACGAATCCGTAATTCCCGGCCGGCCGATAGGCGTCTCCACCATGTCGCCTGCCGACCCTTAATAAGTGTATCGATAAGTGCTGTCAGAGAGAAGGATGAGAGTGGTCATCCCCTCGATTTAGCTGCAACCGGAATTCAAAGCGCCTCTATGTGCACAAAACGTGCACATTGAACTACGTAGCCATGTGCACGATGCTCCCGAGTGGTAACAGGCTATGTGCACGGTACGTGGTTCGATTCCGTGCTATGTGCACAGATGAGCGCCGGTAACACGTAGCTGTTAAAGGAGATGAGTTCGAGACCTAGCAGGGCCAATTTTTTTTTTTTTTTTAGTACGACTATATTTGTCAATTTAATGAAATCCTTTTAATTATTGTAGAATAAAGAGATAAAATGCAATTCCCAAGCGTACGCGAGAAAATCGAAATAAAAATACTGAGTGCCGTATAAATACGTATGGAATAGAGCGTTATATCGAAGAGCGTGTGGCGTAGCAGCAACGGGCTAGCACGGTACCGTCGAGATTGAAGATTGAGAGGTTCGAGTCTCGAGGAGTGGCATTTTTTTATTTTAAATAAAATTTTTTTTACCATAAAATGTAATTCTTACACAAAATAAATGTAAATAACACGATTTATTTATTTATGATACGTATATTATAAAAATACATTTTTCTTTGCCTCAAAAAGCCGTGAAACGCCGTCTGTAGAATAGCTGTATGCAGTATGTGAACTTATATAATTATAAAAGTTATCCGATTTATATCGTGTTTGGTGTCGTTGAAATCGCAAAAATCTCATTAATCCATTAATATTATTTTCAAATCGATAAAATGCGAAATAAAGGTTTTAGTTTTTGACTTATAAGATGTTTATATTTGTAAATTGCCATGGATGGGGAAGCCTATTGTTGGAGACTTCGAAACTTTCTTTGATGATAGGTCCTCTCGCTCGCTCTATACTCGCAGTCTCGCTTTCTCTCTCGCACACGACGAGTTGTGAGATGAGCTCGAAAAGATAAGCGGGCCCGAGCGCCCGAGTATCGAGATCAAAGAACGTTCCGAACTCTCGAACAATAGGCTTCCCCATCCATGGCAATTCACAAATATAAACATCTTATAAGTGAAAAACTAAAACCTTTATTTTGCATTTTATCTATTCGAAAATAATATTAATGGATTATTGAGATTTTTGCGATTTCAACGACACCAAACACGACATAAATCAGATAATTTTTAATTAAACAGATAATCATACAAGTTCCTATCGCATACAGCTATTCTACAGACAGCTTTTCACGGCTTTTTGAGGCAAAGAAAAATGCATTTTTGTAATATACGTGTTATAAGTAAATAAATCGTGTTATTTACATTTATTTTGTGTAAAAATTACATTTTATGGTAAAAAAAATTTTATTTAAAATAAAAAATATTAAAAAAAAAGTCACTCCTTGAGAATCGAAACTCTAACCTCGACGGTACGTGTCTAGCCCCTTAACGCTACGCCACACGCTCTTCGATATAACGCTCTATTCCATACGTATTTATACGACACTCATTATTTTTGATTTCGATTTTCTCGCGTACGCTTGAGAAATGCATTTTATCTCTTTATTCCACAATAATTAAAAGGATTTCATTAAATTGACAAATATAGTCGTACTAAAAAAAAAAAAAAAAATTGGCCTTGCGAGGTCTCGAACTCATCTCCTTTAACAGCTACGTGTTACTGGCGCTCATCTGTGCACATAGCACGGAATCGAACCACGTACCGTGCACATAGCCTGTTACCACTCGGGAGCATCGTGCACATGGCTACGTAGTTCAATGTGCACGTTTTGTGCACATAGAGGCGCTTTGAATTCCGGTTGCAGCTAAATCGAGGGGATGACCACTCTCATCCTTCTCTCTGGTGCTGTAAAGGAATATCTGGTTAGTTCCGCTAGTTACATGCTGTTGGGGTCCCTAGATGGTACCTGATTGGTCGCGTAGTTAGGACTAGATGAAGATGTTTGGTTCTTAGGTAGAGGACCCCAGATCTGGCGATTTTAGCTATTAATACTAAAATAGTCAGATTAGAGCAATTAGTAAAATATAATGATTGTTAATAGTCTTATTTCTACGAGAATATGAACAGCGCGCAATAATTATACTGAAAAATAAAATTTTAAAATAGACGGGACGTCACACTTCAATGCGCTCATATTGGTGCGCTCCTCGAATTGGACCAATACGAGCGCATTGAAGTAAAAAGGAGCAAGTTGGAGCATGCGACGCGAACAAACCTTGTATAGGCTACGATCGGAACTGTTTTCAAATTTTCTCGTCATGACCGCCAATGTTGAAGAAGAGGGCAGGATTCTTCGTGTAAACAATCGTTTGTGCCATTTTTCGAATAACGGAGCATATTTGGCGATCGCGTTTCAGGCGAATCTACTTATAAAGGATGTGAGGACTCTCATGACCTGTCAATCGTTTATATTCGCGGATGTGATACAGGTTAGGTTTTTAACATCGACAATCGGTAAACAATATTGAATTAATATATATCTTTTTATATTAAAATATATATATATTTTATATCAAAATATATTAATATATCTTATTTATATTAAAATATATATATTTTATATTAAAATTATAGTAATATATATATATATATATATATATTGATATTGTAATATAATATATTAGGAGTATAGTAAAAAAATACAGATAGATATATTTATAATGAAAATAAATTATATATATTTATATATAATATATATATATATATATATATATATATAATTTCCCAAAATTATTAATAACAATCACTAGTATTTAAATAAGAGTTGTAGAAATTAATCGACCAGACTAGCAAGTAAATCATTTATTGAGCTTCATGACGTTTCGATCATATGGTTGTGGTCCTTATCAATGGGTATTGGATACAATACAAATGGATATTGTCATATAATACAAATTAATATTTTAAATTCATTACATATATAATTCAAACATTAAAGCACAATGTTGTAAAATTTTATTAACATTTACTAAACTGTTTAGAAAGAAAATAATTTATTGAAATTCTGGCTTTCTCTCCAATTACTAAGCATTTGGTTGTGTGAATGTTGAACACAGCTGAAATTAGGAAATTAAACAATAGCGATTTTTTTATAAACCATGTATAGTGTAAATAACATCGATACTTTTGTTTACCTCCGATTGTATCTCTTATACATCTTTAGAGTTAAAAATTTTTCTATCTCACAGCCAATCGTATGACATTGTATTTATATTTCTTGCTGAAAAGCTCTCATTATTCATATTTTTTTATTACAGCATATAGAATGGTCTTCAAATAGCGAATATATTTTGTGCGCAAATATAAAGAAGGCTATTGTACAAGTATATTCAGTACATTTTCCACAATGGAAATGTAAACTTACCGAAGGTAGTGCAGGTTTGCAGAGTGTTACTTGGTCTCCAGACAGTAAATGCATTTTTACAATAGCAGATTTCAATGTAAGTATACAGTACAATTATTTTTTATAACATTTGTACTTTATTTAAAAAAGAAAAATTTAATTTCATATATTATTATAAAATCGAAGTGTTACATTTATACAGATTCAAATATCTATCTGGAATTTGGAAGATCAAACTGTATCACACATACAAAATCTAAAGACCTCCACTTTTGACAAATTACATTTTAATTCTGATGGCAAGAAATTGGCTGTGATAGTTACGGAGGAAGACGAGGATAAAGTGGAGATTTATAAAACTGATAATTGGAAGATAAGCCGAGTGAGTAAAAAATTATATAGAACTTTCAACATTTGACAAATATTTGTACAATTCTTTTGCATAAAATTGTGTACAATTTTATATAAGAATAACGCAATATTAGAGTACAATTTATATTTGTGCATTATAAAAATTACGTCTTTAAATCCGATGATAGATTTATATCATATATTTTAACTGAATGATCAGAACTGCAACTTGCTAATTGCAATATGCTGCATGAATGTTCATTGTTAGGTCGAAACATAAGTCTCTTTACAGTTAAATGATGAGCCTGGGAAGTATCATATTCCAACAATCTCGACCATATATTCTCCAAATTAACAGTGATTTTTTGAATTTCTATGCATCCTGTTTCATATCCAATAGCCAAAATATAAGATCCTTTTATGCAACTTGATGCAAAGCATAGTGCTGTAACCGATTGGTTTCTTTTATCTAGAATCGTTTTTGGTATAACATCTTTAATGTTGTCCTCCATTGTCTCTACAAGCCATATACCGATTTTTCCGTCTCTGGAACCAGTCGCGAAATAATTCGAATCGCTCGTCCAAGTACAGCACCAAATTATTCGCGAATGCGGATTGTCTTTCTTCAAGCTAACTGCTATTAATGCATAATTTTCGCCTTCGTTTTTGAACAATGACCATCTTCTATCTCTAGAGACAGACAGTAAATATCTGCCATTCGGAGAGAATTCCATCTGCGTCACCGTCAATTGATGAGAAATTAATTTTTGAACTTGCGACCACGTGTCGGTGCTCCACAAGATGATTGCCGAATGTTCTAAATTGGTCGATTTGCATGCTGTCGCTAACAATTGTCCGTCGTGTCTCGCTGTCATGCAGAATATTTCGTAACCATGGCCATAAAGCTTTTGCAATTCCGGCCAAAGTGTATTTTGTGTCAGTTCCTCTTCCGTAGGTGGTTCATACGCAACATTTTTCGTCATTGGATCTCTTTTGTTTTCGCGCTGATCGTTTTCTTCGTTGTCGAACGTTGCTTTATTCGTTAAACCAAGAGATGGTACGATAGCACCAAAGGCCGCTGTAAATTTGAAGTCTTCGACATTATCGGCTAGCAGTCTTAGACGATTTTTAAACGCTGACGTGGCCGTGAAAATGCGCACCACTTTCTCCTCCGCTCCGGAAGCGTACATGTACGGTGTTAACATAACTAAACATGTCATGTCGTATCCGTGTATCTGAGGACGCGCGATGTCATGCCATAATTCCTTAAGATCATCCTTCCATGGTGCATGAACTCTCGTAGTTTGATCTGTGCTAGCTGTGATGAGAAATCTGTAAAGTATAATTTCAAATTATTCCTTCTATGTTAATCTCTTTTCATTATATTCATCCAAAATTCTCTTTTGACATATTTATAGATTGAAATATAATAATTAACAAAAAAAGAAGAAATTATACATATATTACATTACATATTATAAAGGAGGATATTAAAAATAAGCCATTTTTGGCCCAAAAGCGGAACGTAAATTAACCATTGGAAACTGTTTTTGGAATCTTCTAGAAGCATAAAATAATAATTATTTGTCTACCAGGTCCAGGGAAAGTTATGAAAATCATGATTTATTATCGATTATTGAAAGTTATATAAAGATTTTTAAGTTTTATATTCTTGATATATCTTCAAAATCAATTATACACTTATATAAAATCAATTATACACTTATATATATATTGAAAAAATAAGTAGTATGTGTAGAGAATTTAATGTTTTTATTTACATAATTTTCATTACACATACAGGATGTACCAAAAGTCTGGAAATGGTTGAATATTTAGCATAAACTATGGTTGAATATTTAGCCTAATCTATAGTTGAATATTTAGTATAAACTATGCATTTCAGAAAAAATATTCAAACAAAAGTTGTAGCGCTAAAAAATCTATTTACTAGTCTAATTAGTTTGATCATAAATGACGATGCCAAGGTCAGGGCAAGATCATCTTGAATTTTTAAAATGAAATCATCACTACATTTTTTATATTAATCGATTCTTCGCAATATTCTGCATAAAAAGTTATGAGTAAAATGGTCAAAAAGTTTGACCATCAAAGAATTTTACAAGATATTTCATAGTTTATGACAAAATTGTGTAAAACTAAAATATCAAATATCTCATAAAATATTCACTTTTTGACCATTTTACCTATATAACTTTTTATGCAGAATATTGCGAGGAATCGATTTATATTAAAAAATGTAGCGATTTTATTTAAAAATTTAAGATGATCTTGTTTTGACCTCGACATCATCATCTATAGTCAAATTGATAAGACTAGTAGATATATATTTTTAAGCGCTACTTGAAACATTTTTTTTTAAATGCATAATTTGTGAAATATTCAATCATTTCCAGACTTTTGGTACATCCTGTATGTCTAATGTCAATTATGTAAATCAAAACATTAAGTTTTCTACATATACTACTTATTTACCAATATATGTATACAATTGATTTTATTTTGAATATACAAGTATATCAAGGATATAAAGCTTCAAAATCTTTATATGCCTGTTCCAATAATCAATAATAAATCTTAATTTCCACAACTTTCCCCGAACCTGATGGACAAATAATTATTTTTTACTTCTAGAAGATCCTAAAAACAGTTTCCAATGATTGATTTAGGTTCCGCTTTTAGGCCAAAAATGGATTATTTTTAACATCCTCCTCTGAAAAAGATTAAGAGTATGAGAAACGTTCAAAATAATGATTTTTAAAAATAATTTTGTTGTATTTAATGTCTATGCTTAGCTCTCATGAATTCTCCTTATATTTAATTTTATATTTATATATCAGAGTCTTTTCAATTAATTATTTTAAAGTGTGAGATGTTTAAAAACAATTGTGAATTAATAAGATTAATAATTCAATTCAATTTTTTAAAAAATTTTCCTACAAAGTAGCCAAAATTTACATTATTTTATATTTATATAATTCCTTGAAACATTTTAATATTCAATTGATACAGACCTTCCTCTTGGTTCCCAGCACAAGTCGATTACTTCAGAGAAATGACCACTGGGTGTAGATCGTGGAATCCAATTTGCAACTTCTTGGGAATATTTCCAAATGTGAAAGGAACCTTGGTAACCATGCGCCAATATATGTAATCCATCTGGGCTAAATTTACAGCCATAGAAGCCCAGGGAATTGCCGCCAACTTCTCCAACACGTACTCTTTCAATCCAAATTCCACTGGACTCATCCAATTCCCATATTATCATAGACTTGTCCAGCGAAGAGGACAACAATCTTGTAGTTTGATTCTGATTCTCTCTTATAAGCTGCCAGTGCACTCCGTAAACCCAACCTTCGTGACCAGAAAGAACAGATTCCAGAATAACACTATATTCTCTATTGTTTATCATAAAGATATCTCTTTTTTGTTCATCGCTCGACGATTCCCTGGTGATTCTCCACAATCGTATCGTATTATCCTGTGATCCAGTCGCCAGGAAAACATTTCCGTCGCAATCGCGATGGAAATCGATACATCTCACCCAGTCTTGGTGTCCAAGTAAACTCTGAACTCTTACAAAATTCGAGTCTTCGGACTCTTTAATGTACAATTGGACGGAGGCATCCTCCAAGGCCACAGCCAGGAGGGGACATTTAGGATTCGGCAAGTACGTCAGACGACAGTATATCGATAATTTTCTTCCATGGGAAATGGTCTGAGTAATTCGGACGCCTTCCTGTCTCAACCACAATTTCAACTCGCCGTTGATCGAACCCGTGCATATCAGCAGCCTCGAATGAGGCGACGAAATGCCGTCGTCAGATAATTGGAGAGAGTCGGCGAAGGTGACGATACTTCCCACGTCCAGGACCGAACTGACGCAAAAACCTTGGCAATGTTTGCTGTTATCTAAACAAAATTATATCATCAAATTATGATCATCTAGATGAAATTTTGACGTCATCTTATCTTTATAGATAATAAAAATATGTATCATCTTTATCTGCATCTTAGATTAAAAAAAGTATTATTTTTACTAAATTATCTAATTTTCTGTTAATTTTACTTTGGAATCATAGCACATAAAAATACTTAAATAGTAGAACTTAAGCAGTACGCGATAAAATTTATAAATAAAAATATGAATACATATATTTTTATATCCCTTTAATAATTTACATTTTTTAATAACTGTTTACATAAGCAATATTAAAAATTATTATCAAGAAAATTATCTATTTTCAATAATAATTATCAATAGGATAAATTGCTATATAATTTTATCTTTTATCTAAATATATTTCAAACAAATCATCTTTAGCTTATCTAAGATGAATTTACACATTTTTATATATCTCATCTTTATCTAGCTAATTTTAAAATCATCTAAGCCCAATACTGAACCTTGGCTCTCCTCGAGCCTCCAGATAATCGCGGTTCCGTCTACGGAACCGGATAACAGTTCCGTTTCTGACGCGCCGTCTCTGGCTGGTCTTATCCAGTGCACGGTGTTGACGCGATCGCGATGCCGGTGTAGCGTGTGCGTGACGCGACCCACGAACGCGTCCGGCTCGTATATCGCGATCGCGTTGCACGTGCCGAAACAGATCAGACCGTTCGTGCCCCAATCGGCGCAATGGGGCACGCGGTTACACGAACAGGCGATGTAACGCGTCGAAGTCATCGCGTCCAAGCGGTCCAAGTGTCATCCGCGACCGCACGTCGCACGTGCTTGAAGCATGGAGATGAGGGTCGCGTCAGCAGAAAAAATCACTAGGAAAGAGAAATCCCCTAGCGATTTTTTCTGGCCTTTGGAATGTTTTGTGTTTTGTTTTAAAACTGTTTAAGGTCGGTATTCACAGTTGGTTCTTATATTTAAGATCGTCTTAAGCCCTCGTTCAACCAATCAAATGGCCGCATATCATCTCTTGATTGGTTGAACGAGGTTTTAAGACGATCTTAAATATAAGAACGGACTATGAATACCGCCCTAAGATATCGCGAATGATTATTTAGATAAGAAACTATAAAGAAATATAAAACAAGAAAAAAAAGAAACAAAAACTAATAGATGTATGTATGTATGTATATACATACATGCAAAAAAGTTTTTATTTTAGTTTTTTATTTATATATATAATATCCACGTAGCAGATTCATCTGCTACCTAAGATTTCTTCTTATTCTTATTATTTGGTTGTTTGAGCTTTTATTAATTCATACACCATTTACTACCTAAGATTTATAGATAAAAATATAAATAATGAAAAAAATAATAAAATGAGTAACATTATATTTTAGCAGAATGTTTATTTTTGATTATTAAATTTAGCAGATTGACGTCAATTTAATGACGCTATATAAATTTAATAATCAAAAATAAATATTCTGCTAAAATATAATATATTACTTATTTTTTATTTCAAATATGTCATTTTGACGTTTAATGACGTCAGTCTGCTAACTGGGATTTATAAATAAACATATAAATAATGAAATAAAAATAATAAAATGAGTAATATATTATATTTTAGCAAAATATTTATTTCTGTTTATGAAATAACAATCAATACACAATATTGACTTTACATTTTATATTTTAGTATCATTTCAAATTGAACGCAGTTATGCAATATATATGAGGGAAACCAATCAACTAATTTTTTCGATTTCGAGATTTGCGAGATTTTTATATTATATATCAGGCACAATTTGCAATAAAAATTTCGAAATCAAAAATTGCAATTATAGTTCCATATGTATTGCATAACTGCGTCCAACTAATAGTACACAACTCATCGTCATATCAGGTAGAATTTTATAGTTATAATAATATTTAATATAAAATACTTTAGGTTTTTTCCTATATATTCTTAAGTAATCTTGGAGCCTATACGGTTTTTGTATGAGAGAGTTTGCTCACGAGGCGAAAATGACAAAAGTGAGAGGGTTCATTATATATATAGATTTGTTAGATTATCTATACGATATTTCATGCATTTGTTGAAATCTAATAAATCTGTTCACTTTTATAATTTTAACCTCGTGAGCAAACTCACCTAAGATCCATAATAGGTTCCAAACCCTAACGGCACACATCCCGAGGACGTTCGGAGAACATTTTGAGGATGTTCAAATGTCCTCTAGATATCTTCTGGATGTCCTCAGAATGTCTTTCGGATATGGTGTGCTGTTAGGGAAGGTTACTTAATAAGAATAAAAAAGGACTTATATGCTCCCTTAAGCTTAACTCTCAACATAAATTATAAATAAAAAAAATAAAAACTTTAATTTTTATTTTAAAAACTATACAAACTATAAAAAATGAATTATAACACATTGCATTTTAACATTGCAAATAATAAAATAACGTTAATCTTTTAACTGAAAAATAGTAAACATTTAAATAAAAAAATGGTACAATTTATATACACTTTAGTGAAAAAATTTACACAAATCAAAACTATGAAGTATTGTTTTTGCTTGTTTAAAACATGTTTTTCCTTATTTTAAAAATACATAAAAACATAAAACAAAACATTTCTAAAAAATCAATATTTTTGTAATTTTTACTCATTTTAATTGAAATAGAGAAATTCTCTAGAAATTCCCTATCGTCGCTCGTCTGGCGCGCAATATTTGAATTGTTGAATTGTTTCAGAAACTCATCTGCGAGCGTTTACGTAGCATCGACGGGATCCGCTGGTCGCCGAACAATGAATTGCTATGCATATGGTGTTCCTCTCCCGCGGAACCAAAGCTGCTCGTTTATTCCACTGTGTGGGAGAAACCCGTGGTCGCTTGGACCCTATCGGAGATTGTACGGCCATTCGAAACGTATAAGGAGCTTAAGGGAATCGAAAATATCGAGTGGTCACCAAGCGGACAATTGTTAGCTGTAATCGGATTTAATGAAATGGTAATTTCTCAAACGTTACATTTTATTTAGCTTTATATCCGTTACACTAATAATTTTTAACTAATTGAAATTTATACACAGATTATTCTTCTCAACTACATCACATGGAAACCATTGTCACAATTATATCTGGATCCTGTGATCAGGGAATGTAATTATCTAACGAAAGTGTACAAGGAATGTGCGGAATTGGAAAAAACTTCTGATAAACGTTTCGCTTCTTGTGAGGAATGTGTTGGTAAAGTATCAACGAATTAATACTTAATAAATAAGATATACTGCTAAAAAAATTTATAAACGAATAATTTTTCATTCGAAATTTTAGTACGTGAAATACACGAAAGGCCAATATATATAGAAATTGGAAAGAAAGATGACAATGATAATTTTTCGATAGCAAAAGTAAAATTATTTGAATTTAGCGCATGCGGACAATATTTAGCTCTAAAGCATGAGCTTTATCCTACTACATTGTGGATATGGAATATTTGTACAGACTATCTTGATTATTTGTTACTCGTAAATCCCATTACAGGTTTGTAAAATTAAAAGTTAAGTTGATTTTTTTGTGAAAATAATGTTGATAAATCTTATTATTTTTAGCTATCAAATGGAACCCTGTACATCTACAATTGCTCGTATTCTCTGAATGTACTCGTGTGTACGAATGGACGCAAAAAGGTATAAAATCTGTGCCGCTGTCTAAAAATATCATAATTGTAGATGGGAATTGGCATTCCACAGGAGAAAAGATTGCATTGTGTGGTTACAACAAAGCGATGATTTATGAGATCGCGAATGTATAATATTAAAATAAATATATATTTTTTTACAAGTCTATTTTTTTATATTACGCTGTATAATTTTTTATATCGTTTTTATAGGAAAGTAAGATTTAAATAATACATTACACTGCACTTTATGAAATTAATGAACGATAAATATTCATATAGAGATCATATGTATAGTCGTATGTAGATCAATTGATGAAAGATGTTGAGTTGCGCGAGAAATATATATAGCAACAGTTTTCTCTATTCAGGAGTGTAGTTATAGAATGTTATTTATTTTAGTCTTTCACTCTCTAGTCTAGTCTAGTAACTTTTGTTCAAAGTAATTAATAAAATTATATTTTAATTATATATTCTTCATGATTGTCACATTTTTATTTGTCAAAAATGACGAATAAAAAATGCTAATCTAAATTTACTATTTTAATTGAAGCAAAAATGTATTTAAAAAATTTTTTTTCCGTGCAAAGTTAGAGCACTTTCTGCATTTTTTAATGTCACATACTGTTATTTATGCGAAAATTTATATAACACTTTTATCATTTACAAGATAATGGAATATAAAGAATTTTGCATTCTTGATTTTCGTAAAGAGTTGAGAAAGCTTTGGCGATAGAATTATTTTGTTCAACAGTCGCAACTTGCAATTAAGATTTGAATGATGTGAAAAATATATACATTGCGAAAAAAGACTTATTCGAAAGATAAATTTTGATTTCAAGACACAGGGCGCAGAGCGCTGAAAATAGCGTAGTGTCTACATTACTCTCTACTGGAGAAAGCGAGTCTTCGCGAATGGTTGACGCGCGACCATCTATTCGTGATACATTATACACGAAGAGGATCAAAAGATTCTAAAGTATATATGATTATGCGGTTTATGCACTAACATGCGCGATTCCCCACCCGCGCACGGTGAAAACATATTTTTCTAAGGCGCTTCTCTCTCGCGCGATGTGTCTACCGTCTACTAGCACCTTATCTCACTTTTTATCATCGAGAAAGACGTTGCGTGGGAACGCCTATTTTCTCCACGATATGGCGACAACGAATGTAGGAAAGAAGGCATTTATTTCGCATCGTCATAGGACAGACATGACATACCATTGATACATTATACCGTTTAACTAGCGAAAAGAAATATATATGCGATATATAATATGAATATTAACACATTCGCAACCGGTATTTTTTTCACTTTTCTAAAACTGGATGTGATAAAATTAATTCTATAACTGCTTGCCGCATAATTCTGTAATTAAAATAAGAAAAACGAAAAAGTTACTTAAAATATTATATTTGTAACTATTTATTGTTTGAAATTATCTGTTTTATAAATCTAGCAAAGAGAGATAAAATAATGTTAAATATAGAAAATATTTAAATTTAAAAAAACTTAAAATTTGTTACATATATTTTTGAAAAAAATTAATTGAACATTTTTACATAAAATAAAATTTAATATTTTTTTGTATAATATTTTAATAACTTCATTTTTCCACTTGAGACATTTTAAAAAGCGATTTACTGTATTTTTTTTGTATTCTACATTAAAAAGTAAATAAATTCATTTGATTCTCAAGTTAAAATTCATTTTAATTAATTTGAATTTAATAAAATATAAAAGACGTAGTACTACGTAATGGCAATCAACTATAAATTTTAAAAGAATGTAATACTGCATTAAAGAAAATGGCAACCAATTATGAATGTGTTAAGTTCTTCTTCTTTACAAGTTTTTACTCTGTTGCATAACACATCTCATGATCATCAACGAGTGAAAATGGAGAGTTTAAATTTTTAATACAGAGTTCCAAAATATGCTTGAAATAGAAGAGACGCATAGACATGCGTTAAAACACGTTTATATTCGTCCAAGGATAATATAACGAACTATATGATATGTGTTATTTAAGAAATAAATAATTTTTACAGTCACGAAAAATTATTGAGAAAGGAAGAGATGTAATATTATGTATATATTAAAATATGTATACACGCGCATTTGTAATATATTACTTGTAAAAGTAACTGGAAAATAATGTACTGTATAATATTGCAATCTCCAAGTGATCTAGTACGGCAACGATCTGGTTATAGAAATAATGTTTTTGTTTGAAAATTAAGTGAAAGCTTGTGTATCCGAGAGATGCAAGACGTTTATCGAACTTACCACCGTACTTACTCGCACCGCAAATTTTTCTTCTGGGAATAAAAACTGCGCACAACACATTTTTAAATTCGCGTGCAAAATGATCTGATTTGACTAAAGTGTCCCCCCCCCCCCCCGTGCAACTGATAAACGATAATTGTTGCATGTACGTAATTGGCGGGAATATAAGCGGGCAAAGATTGTAATTAAATTCGTCGCTTTTCCATGCACCTAATTACATGATCGTCTCCATTAAAAGGGATAATTAGTCGCATACAGTGGCTCTCGAGAAGCGAATAATACAGGGTGTCTTTAAATTACACCTCCACGCACACAGTATGAAATATTTCATTATTGAGTTACATTACAAATATTATGCAAATATTATAAGTTAATATTTTATTGGAGATTTTGCAAAATATTACTGCTATATTATAATGCAATCACATAGTTAATCCTTTATTGTTATGAGTCGCACGTTGAGCTATCTATATCTCGCATTTAGTTATGAGAATTATATAAAGCATGCAAAAAGAGCTATTACAATCAATTATTTTTATCGATTTAATTTTTTTTATACAGTCTCAACAAGGAATTCAAATATTACTGATTATTCAAAAATCGAACAAATAAATGTCCGAATAACTGAAGAAAATACAAAGGAAGAAATATTTTGCAATATTTTATAAATGTTATATTAATGTTGCAGAAAATATATCAGCGTTGCAAAAATTTTATTGCACATATGTTTTAGGAGCGGACATATCTATATTATTACAAATTCACGAATAAAGTAATAAAATGGTTAAAAAATGATATTTTAAACATATCTTAAACTCGAAAATAAACATTTCTCTTAACGTTTTTCGAGTGGACATTTTAACTAAATAAAAACATTTTCGAGAATCAGTTATGAAACATTTCGAAGAAACTATTGTAAAACGTTCTGAAACTGGTAAATTCTAAAGATATATACTTAGTTTTATTAATATTCTATTTCTACAAGGCTTTTAGTTTGCGAAGAAGCCTTTATTTTTAATCGCTCGAAAATTATTTGTCTTGACACTTTCACTGAGGAAATATCTCTAAATAATTTCAGCTTAACGTATGTGAGTGATACGAAGTCTGGGACACCAGTATATCATTCGACATTATAAGTGTTGTTCGAAATCGAATCTAGAAAAAAGAAATTTAATCCGTAGATAAAACAGAATATTCCAAATGCACACATATCACGCAATCATCAGTACGTATTTAAATTCGTTACAATATCGTGTGCTAGAATCTCCTTCTTCGGTTTTTCAACCACACTGCGGCCACACCCTTCAGGTGAATATCTGTTGCTGAATATCTATATCTACTTAACGTGCAGCAATATGTAGTTTTTTTCGCGTTACCATATGTGACGAACAAGCGACGATTTACTATCTGCGGCCTCATGTCTTGGGAAAGAGGGGAGAGTACATTTCCTACTTTCTCCGCGATTCATCGTTCGTCACACGCAGCTCGTACGAGTATTTACCAATTTACTTACACTGTCTCTCTCTCTCTCTCTCTCTCTCTCTCTCTCTTGTGCATGCGCTTCTCTTTTTTTCAATAATGAATGCTCGTTTACGAGGAAGATTTATCCGCGAGAACGCAATCTCAATTTGTTTGTGCAATCAAAGAGCAGTCTGAAACACTCATTCTGTGACAATCTCATGAAATAATACTGTGAGTTATTAAAACAATTTTGTCACAACTTTTTGATACTTAAAATTGAACTTTTGGGTGTTATATCTAATATAGTTAAATACTTGTTTGTGATGAGTCCACTTGAAATTTTCAAAAAATATATAATAAGCTCTTGTTATATAGCATATGGAATTCATTAGAGATTGTATATAGGATAATTTTAATTAATATATAATCGAATAGTTAAATAGAATCATTTTAATTAATATATGTAATCGAAGGTTGTTGAAACTAGATATAATAATATGGCTATAATGAAAAATATTTTATATATAAATGTTAAAAAGTTGATTTAAAGGTTTCTTTTGAGAAAGAAAAAAGTTGATAATTTTGAATCTTAATTGTTATTTTCATGATTATTTGGTCAACAGTTTTTTTTAAATTGAAGTTTTCAAATTTACATAATCTTTTTTATATAAGGATTTGAATTAGTTAACCAAAACTGGCTCTATAATTGATTTATTAAAAATTCATAACGTTTCAACCATGTGATTGTGGTCTTTTTCAAGTGAAATAAAAATTAAAAAATTAAAAAGTTAAAAATATTGAAACATTATACATATATATACAACGATGTCACATTTATATACGCTAACATTTTTACATGAGTTAAATAATTGAGAGTGAGAGAGAGAGAGAAGAGAGAGAGAGAGAGAGAGAGAGATGTCACCGAGAAGAATCATCAATAACTTTTTATAAAATTACTCGCAATATTTTGCATAAAACGTTATAAGGATAGACAGTGTTCACTGTTATTTAAATAAAATTGTATAGATGACCATCGAGATGAAGCTTTGGCGCCCTTTTTTATTTCATACATAATATAGATAATAAAAACATGTACTATCTATGTCTTTATCTTATTGTTAGATGAAAAAGTTAAAGATGAGATGAAAATATGTAAATTTATATTATTTATTTCATCTTTAGCTAAGCTAATTTTAAAGTCATCTGAGCACAACACTAATTGTAAGGATAAGATATTCAAAATAAATAGATTTAATAAAAGATATTTTGTGTACTTTAATGTGGCACAATTTTACCATAAAACTATAAAATCTAAAATATTTTTAAGACAAAATTTGTCATTAATATATGTTATTTATATACATTTTTATACCAGGTATTTTCTTAAAAAGAAACGCATCTAATGTAATTCGGTCAAGCGATATTGTTAAAGGTTAAAAATTGTATAATCTGAATTTTGTTGCTCAAAGCCATTTCGTGTGTATTATTTGTCTACAATTATCCTTTTCCTTCAAAAGATAAATATTTAATATATTTATTAATTTACTCTGATATTGTATTAAATTAATTTACATTTTTGGTAAAAACATTGCTTTTACACATTAATTATATATTATGAACGAAAGTGCTTTCTTATTGATGTTATTCCTACCAACTCTCTGTTGTTCATTTCCACATAGACACACACGATCATCTACCATATATTACCGTTGTAATATAAACTTCTTCGCCTTCTCCGACTGTCACTTCCTGCGAACTGAAGGAGAGCCGATAACGTCATTTCTATACTCCACACACACACGATCACTGCCGTATTCCTCCTCGAAAAGCGTCCCAACAGCCAATCGGGCCAATTAATCATTAATTTGTAAAAAAAATAATTATTACACGCATCAATTATGACATTCGAATAAATATTGAATAAAAATTTAAATTAAAATATATATATATATATATATATATATATATATATATGTGTGTACGTTTAATTATTGATTCTGTGATTTTCATAAATCAAGAAAGAAAATGAAGCAAAAAAAGTTGCAAAATCACCGTCAATCGTGGTATAGCTATCCACAGGAGCGTAACGTGCCGCAAGTGTATAGCAGTGAACCGTTCACGTTCACTCGTGCTTGTGTGCTCGCACACATATGGTGTTTAGAAAGTCCGACAATAAGAACACTACCGACGATCGACGACCGGCGCGGAGGAGGTACACCTTGGTACCAGAAGGTAACGATGTGGTAGCCGAAGGTAGTGCACCGCCGATTTAGAGGTGGGGGCATCTCTAAGCTAGCGGTGTCAGCGCTTCCTCGACGCTCACTGCTCGTCGACCCGTCGAGCCATCGACATCGGGTGACAGATCGGAGCGTAGAAAGTTTTAAAATAATCATCGAGGGAGAGAGAGAGAGAGAAAGAAAGACAAATCGATTTAGAAAGAAGAAGAAAAGATAGAGAAATAGAAAAAGAGATATTAACATTTCGGGTCGGTCGACCAGTCGTTTTGTGCTACGTGGATTAAGCCGAATCGAGGAGGCGAAAATACAATGGAGAAGGAACAACCGGATTCCCTGGCGACCGTCGCTGTTGTCTCGGAGAAGATGCCGCAGACTCATAGCCACTATGCGCCCAGCGAGGTCTATTCCTCTGCCGAGCCACCACCGGTAAGCTTTCGCCCATATAGATCAGTCATTTTGAGATTAATTTTTCTTCAGCGAAAGAAACAAGATCATTTATTACAATTTTCTCGGCATCTTTAAAAAATTCTGTTTTATAATTCTCAAATTAGGAAGAACTCCGGACAATCCTTATAGAAATTGGATTTCAGTGGAATTGGCTGGTTTTTCATATGTTGTAGCTTTTGATCAGTTGAACAAAAGATGCAAAAGCTAAATAATAAACAGTTACTGAGCTACAGCCAGTCAAACAATCTGATTTTATCGGGATTCAACTTATTTATTATAATTTTCTCGGCATCTTTAAGAAATTCTGTTTTATAATTCTCAAATTAGGAAAAATTCCGGACAATCCTTATGGAAATTGGATTTCAGTGGAATTGGCTGGTTTTTTCATATGTTGTAGCTTTTGACAAGCGCTGAACAAAAGATGCAATAGCTTCAAAGCTAAATAATAGACAGTTACTGAATTACTGCCAGTTAAACAATCTGATTTTATCGGGATTCAATTTCACTTAGGATTCCATATAGGTTCAAAAACTCTGCGCTAATTCTATATAAAATCGAATGTCGATAAGATCAGCTGCTTTTCTCGTATGTTACAGCTTATGATTTGCTGAACAAAAAATGTAATAAACTCAAAACTAAATAATAGTAATTATACTAATTTACAATTAGTCAAATATGAAAAATTTTGGTTCTGCGAGTTGTTTGACTGGATGTAACTGTCCATTATTTAGCTTTGAAGCTATTATGTCTTATGTTTATCAGGTCAGAAGTTACAAAATATGAAAAAGTCAGTCTTAATTTTACTGAAATCCAGTTTTCAAGAATTGTGTGAGGTCCTTTGTTATAGTCAACGGAAATTTAAATGAGGAATAAAGTTTTTTCAGATAAAAAAATCTGTGAGTAAATCAATGATTCGCTAAGATCTGAAGCATCATATTTCTTATAATTCCAGATATGCATGCACATGAAAATTATATATATATATATATATATACATACATATATTGACTGCAAACTAATATGTATTTATTCATTATATATAAATTTCATAGTGTGCAGTGTAGCAAAAAATATAAATGGCTTAATTACGCCTAACATGAATGCTGTCAAACGATATGACGACTTCTATGATTAATTGGCACTTTACATTGAGATACAAACTTTTTTAAGCAAAGTTTAAAATTAATCAATTTTTAAATTTTTATCAGAAAAGCACTTTGAAGAAATATGAAAGAATTAAAATATGTGATCTTCTACATTTTTTGTGAACTTTATTTTTAAACGGTCTGTTAAAATTCACAAAATTAAAGCTGCATTAATGACAAAACAAATTATCATATTTTACACCTGTGCAAATTTTATTGCTCATTAGTATTTTATAAAAAGTAAATATGAAAATGTAGCTTGATGTAAAAAAGGCAAAATATTTAAAATCATAAATTGTTTCTTAAAAAAATATTCAGTTATAAAAAGATGCTATATTACATATATATAATTTTTATATATTTTTACACATTTAAATATAATTATAAGAGGCGATATTTACTTTTTATCTTTTATCTATTAGAATATCGATTCGATATAACTGCAAAACTTAAAAAGGTAGTTCATTGATATGGCTTGCTTTGTATACAAATACAAAATATATCATAAAACATAATGTTGGCCTTCACGTGAAATCGTTCATCAAGACAATAATTACGACGACTAAAACAGCATATAATTTTGTACACACGTATAGTTGTTTTCTGAATAGAAAAATGATATATAATAGCAAATATAGTGTGGAGATAATTGCAATTTGAAAATTGGCACTATATCGTATAATTGACCACTGCCGCTGTAATGAGAAAGGGAATTACAACGAAGAAATTGCCGTACTTTTCACGATACCTTTTGTTTGCCGGATCGAATAATCCATGCGACTCTATTGCGTTTACATAATTATACTGTCTCCATCGTTATTGATAATAATCGGTAATCAATTGATTTCTCATTTACGGTCCGTATTCTCGGGGATATTAAATTTTCCTCGGATGCGAAAGGAACAGTTTCACATAGCAAATTTTATGGCATCGCAGTTTGATATTTAATAACAAGTAGAGATGAGGAAACTAGAAACATTCAAAACATTTCTATAGAATGAAGCATATAGAAGAATGAGGAAGTACTTCGGAGATTGAATAAGAATGAAGAATTAATGCAGCAACTATTAAAAAAAAATATATATCGAATAAATATAAAATATCTAGATCATGTAATGAGAAGTGAGAAGTGTTATTTGCTGCAACTTGTTATACAAGGATAAATATAAAAGAAGGAAAAGTATAGGAAAAAAAAGATATTGTGGCTACGGAATTTGATGGTGAATGAGTTTGGAATAAATTCCAATCAATTTTTCAGAATCTCTGCGAACAAAAACGCCATGAAAATTTTCACTTTTCGATTGAAAGCAGAAGAAATAACTTTAGAAATTAACAAGAAAAAAGTATACCTACTTTTGCAAGTGCATGTTTTAGAAAACCTTTATGTAAAAATCCATTATGTTATCGAAAAATACAATTAATTCTCAAGAATATTTATAGAGTATTCGTTATTGTCATGACTTATTGTTGTTCCTCCGAAAATGGTCGGATGCGTCATGTCATAAGAGAGCGTATCGTGTGATATGCATAAATTTAATTCGAATCGATGAGCTGAATGTGAGCACAATTGGCTATGTAAATATGACGTCTCGCCGATTGATATCCGGCGACATTGCGTAATGCACTTGTGGATGCCTTTCAATCACTTGCTCTTTAGATCGTCGAGTGAAATTGCAATTGATACATATATTCGAATAAAATACGATCGAAATCGGGCCTTAAAAATTCAATGCGACACTAGTGGTGGTCGCGTAAACTATTATAAATGGCCGTTGCGAATATACATCTACCATTATCTTATTATTATTTGAATTATTAATTAATAATGTTTCAGTGATCACATGAGATTCTGATGTCAAGGCACATATTTGTAGACATAAGAAATATAAATCTATTCTTTCTTGATTTTTCATATAGTTACACCGCACATAATAATCATGCCGGAATTTTATAACATTCTGGCCTTCGATCAAGTTCCTTGATGAAGGCGTAGCTTTTGTATAATCACAGAGTCTAGCCGCAATGACATTTTTTTTCATAAAAAAAATTAATTTTTACACTTAAAATTGTTGTATATTTGCAACAGCCATATTTGTTTTGCTTCAGTAGCGCCTCTCTTACCATGGTAGACGTTTTTCTCTCCAATTGTGAGAAAAGATGACGCGCGAGGCTCAATCCATCAGTAAACGATGAATATATAGCATATATAGAAGGATTTCTGAAGGACATATAGAAAGACATAGGCATAGAGATAAAAGGATATATTCAGCGAGTTACGTGATTTTCCTTGAAAATGCATTAACGACATAAAGAACGCTGCTTGTAATACAGCATAAAACATAACAATAATGGCGTGCAATCTTAGAAATTATTATATCATTGCTTTAACAAAAAATAAATATCGAAAGACAGAGAATATTCTATATTATCGAATATTTTCCCTATAATGTTATCATTCTTTCCTTTTTCTATTTTTCGATAATTAAATATTACTAGAAATGTGGCCTTTGCAAGTCGCAAATTTTGATGCACAACAATCTGCACGCATAGTTACGTAATTAAGAAATTAATTTAGCGATCTTAAATTAGTCTATTGAAATCATAAGCTCTTTAATTATAAAATTCTGTTATCCGCAAAAAGCACACGGATAAGTTGTACACTTCCGAGAAAGTTGTTTTATAACATAATTGCGCAGAACTCTCAATCACACTCCAAGAGTGGATTACATACATTTGCGCGATTGTTCATTATTATTGTTTCATTCGATCATTTCTCAGACTAAAATAGATTAAAACTAGTTGACGGTAATTAATGACGAGAAAATTGAGAGAACCAGTCTAGAATATATAATATTAAATGCACTTCATTAGCCGTGTATTTAATTTATTAACAGTTCAAAATCTACGCGTTTGAACAAATATTTTTTATTTTTTTCGCCACATAAAAAAAAAATTTTGTTTTCTATTTTTTACGTATAATAAAAAAAAACGCATTTCTTCAAAAAAATTCAGAAAGGAATACAGTTATTAAACTAAGACAATATTTGAAGTGGCTAACGTATGTTGTATTAGAAAAATAAGGAGTATTTAATTACAGTAATTATAACAAGCAAAAAAATGTACAATTCTTACGATGAAAAGACATAAATATGTATTATACTCCGAGACGCATGCACTTCCGCCACGGAAAAAACGTAAATGTCGTTTCGTCATTAAAAATGAATGCTTAATTGGCCAATAGAGAGTTTGAGAAAAAGCTAAAGAAAACATTAAATGCAGAACGTATATTTCTTTCCTGAGAATGTATTTAACTTTCTATTTGTCATCATAATCAAACGAATATGCATATATGTATGTTACAAAAAAGTTGTGGATAATTAAAATTTACGATCAACAAATTAACATTTTATTCCAAATAGTTACAGATTTTAATAGTTTGCATATAAGTATATTTTATATAAATTCGAACATTTTAATTATTTTATATAAAATTATTATTGAATTATTTTATATAAAAAATATTTTTGTCAATGTTTTCTTGTTTAATGATCTTTTCATCAATAAAACAATATATATATATATATATATATATATATATATATATACACTTTTCTGTTATGATAATATATTTAAATTTTAATTTGTCTATTTAATCTTTATCTTAACTAACGATATAAAACTATAAAGTTACCAGACGATAATTAAAAAATGCTAATGATTTAATCGACCAACTCTGGCAAATAAGTAATTTTATTGAATTTTACAACGTTTCGGCCGTGGGTTTCGGTCCTTATCAAGTGCTATGTTCTTAAAACAAAGTAAATCATAACGTTT